CCTTGCAACCACTTGTTTGTGGATCTCCTTCCAGTTCTCAGGATCGTTGTCAGTTCCCATGGCAGGATTCAGCTCCTGGAGGCAAACCCCTGCCACGTTCATTCCGCTCCAAACAGCCACTGCAACAGAGGCAGGACATCAGTGCCAACAGCACTTGGCAACTCCTCCTCCACCTTTCCTAGCTAAAATAATTGGAAACAAAGTAGGAGCAGCCAGAATCACAACAATGGTTGAGGCAGGTTTTAAGGTTTTATTAGCTACAGTTGAATCTGAGAAGTCTGGGAGTCAAACATAAGACTGTTTCAGTACTGGCACTTTTACAAGTCACTTGTAACATGTGACAGCAGAACTTTCAGACCCTGGAAGTTTCGGAAGTCAGAAACATCATATTCTAGTAAAAAGTCACATTTTAGCTACCCAGGCTTTTAGAACTGATTTTACTCAGACCTGCAGCATTTGCAGTTTCACTAATCAGTATTAGGACTGGCCTTCAAGAAGTCCGTTCTTGTTTACACAAGTAAGAGGATAACAATAAGCAAGCTCAGAATATCAAGAAAGGAATTTGCACCTCTCCCTGCATCCTGGAAGCTCAGAGGCAGGCTCAGTCTCTGTTTCTGGGAAGTAAGCAGGAATATGGAGTTACTTCAGAGCAAAACCAGCTGTGACACTGACACAGAATAAGCTCTGCATGTACTCAGCCAAACTCTGCTTCCATCAGTGTAGGACTGGTTACAATAACTGCTGCTGTCAGCTATCAGTATCAGACACTGCACTTTGATCAAATGCAAAGGGACAATGAAGAGGTGGCTCCCTCAGAAATACACAGCACAAAAATATAAAACAGTAACTGTAAACATAGAGATAGATATATATTCTTTCTGTTACACATCTTGTCATGGCCAGTGCAGTGGGAAGGTGTTATCCTGACCATCCAATCCCTGGCCGTGGTCAGAAACCTATAAATTCTGGGAGAAAAATAAATAGTCTCTTCCTTTCACCACACCTCAAGCTGTGTCCGTGTGATCTACTCAGCACCAGCGGCAACACATGAACTGAATTAGGACAGATAAACTTTTTTGATTTCACATTTTAAAACTATCTCTGTTTCAAACAGCAAGGAGAAAAGTCACAAAATAAGGTAAGGGATAATTTTGTTAGCCAATAACAAGCTATGCTACTGACCTAGCAAGTGCTGATAGTGATTTCAGAGAACTGTGCTAAAGGCTATTGAATGGTACTCCAAAAACTGAGGATAAAGAGGAGGACCAAGCTGTAGCCTTCACAACAGAACCTCACAAAATTGTCCCTTTCAGTTCAGGCTTTAATTGTACAGCCACAATCATATTTATTAAATATGTATAGGTAGATTTCCTGTACTTCTCTCAACTCTAATCTTCATAAAAATACAGCAAAGTACCAAGTTACTCAAGCTCAACTGCAGCTATTCCTTCAGAATCCTGTAACAAACCTCAGGCCTCAACCTCTGATATGACATTGCTCATTCCCAGGGAAGTCAGAACTTCTCCTTACCACTGGAATCACCGTGCTCTCCCAAGATCCAGCCATGGCAGCTGCTTGGATGGATCCCAAGTTTCTCAGACATCAGATAACGGAATCTGGCTGTGTCCAGATTGCAGCCACTTCCAATCACACGGTTTTTTGGCAGCCCACTCAGCTTCCATGTGACATAGGTTAATATATCCACTGAAAGGAAAAGCATGCATGGCAAATGAAACTCCACTCACACCAAGAATGCTCCAACAATTACCTTACTGAGCATAGCAGGGCAATCAAGAGGAATCAAAACACAGCTGTGTTCACTGGTAAATGAATTTTGGATCTGACTGTTTGGGGAATTAAAATGGATACAGTGCTTGAAATTTTGAA